CGTGCCCACACGCGCTTGTAGGACACGCGCTAGGCGCAACAACACAAATGGCCCGGTCCCAAGGTCTGTCAAAAATGGGCTAGTTTGGAGACCAGTTTGGGTTCGGTGCCAGGAAAACACATGGGCTGGAGTGGATTGGCTGAGTCCCAGCCTGTTTTTTCCACGGGGTGCTGACCTCTTTTTGCTCCGCTGAACTGCTCTAAGTACTCCACCCTACTCAGAACAAATGGGGTGATAGAGGCCTAGATATGCCATTTTTGTAAGTAGATTTATGATCAATGAACAGCCCTGTTTAGCAAAACTTGGAAATTGATTTAACTTATGGATACGTTCAGGGCTGGTGGTAAACAAGTGGTGGTTGAAGAGTCCGTACGATGCTCACGCGTTCAAACTTTAAAGATATGCAGTAAACAGTAACAGCAGCACTGTGACTAAGCAATTGCAGCAACGCTTGTACTCTCTCTACACATGTACACTTTGTCTCCATCCCAAATCCACTGCCTTTTTTAATGACCATTCATATTTTGGACTCCTTTTTCTTGCCATAATTTGCCCCGAGTCTCTCGGTCTCTGCCGCTTGCTCTTGTCTCCCAAGCAAACTTTTGGTTACCTTTGGGATATTTTCTCCTCTCTCTCTTGTGTTCTTCCCAAGCTGAGTCCCACTCTATAATAAATGGACAAGGATTGTCTGCCCTCCACTTTCGGTATCCTCCTGTTTTGTGTGGTCACGGTTAAACTACGTCAACATTTTATATTGTTTTTTTATAGAGATAATAAGACAAAAATGAATAGTAATATAAAATGTTGACGTGATTTAACCGTGACCACACAAATAGGAGGGCACGGGAGGGCACCGGAAGTGGGAGGGCAGACAATCCTTGTCCATAATAAATAGTGTCTGTGTATGTATGTATGAGAATACTAGCAAATGACTGGTTGCATTTGCTCAATACATACAAGAAGTCATTCATCTTTCGGGACAAATAACTAGTTGATACATACATATATATATACATACATACATATATATATATATATGTGTGTGTGTGTTTGTGTGTGTGCGCGTGCAAAATAAATTTTTATAATTTTAATGAGTTACTTTTATATACATTTCGTTGTTATTTGTCAGTAAAAAGAAAGCCTCCTCCCATTGTGTTTGTGTGTGTGTGCGTGCAAAATAAATTTTTATAATTTTAATGAGTTACTTATATACATTTCGTTGTTATTTGTCAGTAAAAAGAAAGCCTCCTCCCATTGTAAAGAGGGAGACAGTGTTACTTATAAATATCAATAAACGAAACTGATAATGATCATGAAAATGCAAGTGATGTAAAACTCAATGTTAATGGATTATTGATCAAGTCACTTGATTATCGAGTAACTTGATATCCAAGTTACATGATACTCGAGTGGCCTAAAATCCTAAAAGAGTAAGAATTGTGGAGTCTTAATATCATACAACTAATTTTGTGAAACCATATCTAGTATGACTAAGAAAATATATGTCATAGTGGGACACTGGTTGACTGGATTATGATTTAGTAAACATCTCCTTCCTATAATAGAATGGATGTGATGAAATTGAGGTTTCACCATAAAACTAATTGGCTATATGGGGAGTAGCTCAAGACCATATAAGAACATAGCAAACATTGTCCCTCACTGATGTGGGACAACTCTCAACGCGCCCCTGCATGTGTGGCAGATTTTTAAGCCTACATGTGGACAACAAATGGGTGACGTGGAACACGTGTGGCCCTTTGGCTTCACACGAGGACAACCCGCTCTAATACCATGATGAAATTGAGGTTCCACCATAAAACCAATTGGCTATATGGGGAGTAGCCCAAGACCATATAAGCACATAATAACAAACATTGTCCCTCACCGATGTGGGACAACTCTCAACAAGATGGAGAGAAACCCTAGTTAATATAAAAGGTTTGTTCCTGCTCTCACAACAATTATTTCTCATACACAATACCAAATTCCTATTCACTTGGTCGAGAACACTTTTGGTTGCTGAGAGTAGAAGACTCTTTTGTCATCAGTAAGTGTCATGTATTCCTCATGTAAGTTATTCTGCAGTCACTAGGGCTTCTTGACTGATATTGTACATGCGTTATAACCATAATTGTATTGTTATAACTATGACTTCACTCCTTGTAGAATTAACGTCTATATGATTAATGTTATATCTGCTTAGTGATCCTAGAAACTTATAACTAACTAGAATCCTTCTGAATCCAAAAATGTGATCCTAAGAGGCTGGAATTATTATCTCAGCAAATCTGAAATTCATGTTTCTTGTTAATTTACATGTAAATTTTTTCTGGGCCTTCGAATTTTAATGCCCATAATAGATGTTTTTGTGGTCTTTTTTTGTTTGTTTGAAACCCTTGCGTAATTCTCTGTGCAATGGATTGCAAGAACAATCTTAGTCACTTTTATGTATGAGTTCATTAGCAAACTTATTGAGTATTAAAGTTATCAATAATTTCATCCTTTTGGTTTTGGAATTCAACTTTCCCTTACATGATTGATTAAGTGGAATTTACACTTACATTATTATGTTCATAAATTGTATCACTTGGAATTGCATAACCAAACTGATGGGTGAGTGTTTGGACCCGATTTTACACTATCAGCTCGAGCAATCGAGACTGTTAAATGAGCAGAGATCTAGACCGTTAGACGACAAAGTGGTTGAGATAATTTTAATTATTATTGAGGGATAATATTGTGTTTTAATCATAATATTTATCTTTCAGTAATATATTGAATTATTTCAACTTAGTGTCGTCTAATACCCCAATTGATTTGAATGAAGATGGAATATGTGGATATGGATGTGCATTAAGGCACGACATCAGATGATGAAGTAGGATGGGATGATTATCACATGAATACAAATGGAATATGCCTTTTTGATTCTTGCCTTGTGGAATGCATTAGTAGGAGATTTTGACTCCTTATGCAAGTATGGGTTTGATAAAATAAAGGATGGAATTATATTGGAGTTTATTATGCATGCATGGTTGCACCTGGACCAACGTGGTGGAAAAAGATAATTTCTAGTTGGAATAGGAAGCAAAGTTTGAGGGCTTGGTTTCTGCTGAGGCATGCAAAAGATAAGGTTCACAAATCAATTCACCAGTTTGAATTGAAATCAAATTCTACACTAGTGTGAAGCCGCACCACACAACATTTGCTTTTATAAATACAATGTCGCAGACAACATTAAGGTCTCCAACTCAACACACAAATTGCCCTGCGCAAACCCCCGCTCTACGTGAAACCTCTCAACAACTTTAAGATTTTTATTTTCCTTTTTCACCAACACATCTTCAGTTTGGATAAACAACATTATGAAGGCAACCAGCGAACATCTTCAGTTTGGATAAACAGCACTGTTGCCGTAGAATTAGCCAACCGTGAAGCACCTTCAGTTTGGATAAACAGCACTACGACAAGGCCGACTGGTTATCTATCCAATGAAGGATTTTCGAATCCTTATTGGCAGAGGTCATCTCATTAGCATTCTCGGCAAATTGAGGTGTTACAAGTTACTACATTCGGCACATTGAAAGTCAAATTTGATATTGAACTTTGCAGAACTAGCAGCCTTGTCTTCAGGCTCTAGAACCTGAATGCCGAGAGTGTTCCTGCCTAGGCCGCAGTCGTAAGATCGAGAAGTCAGCCGCGCGCTCAACGCAATATCAACACATTTTACTCCTCGGCCAAACTCGGCCGACGAGTTGGCACGCTCCGCTTCAATCGAAGGACGTAGTTAGCTCATTAATTATTTGACCTGCACGCCACGTAAGCTTGGTAGTTTTTAGGGCCAACAGTGAGTCACGTCCTTCTGTTTTTCTCTTTTCTGAAACTAATAGCTTGAATCATTTAGAGCACGAAAAGGAATTTATATTACCCACATATTTTTTGCGAGTATGACTTCGGAGAGAGAAATTAATTAAAAAAAAAAGGTACAAACCTTTTATGTCATTAATCTTGTCCTGCAACACATCCTGTTTTGATGCTTATTATTATTATAGATTTCCTTAACTCAAAATATGTTGAAATTTTATCATGTTGCATTGCATTCTAAAATGGATTCTTAACACTGAATGTTTTTTATGTTTTTAGTACAAGAAACTAAGCTGCTGGAACTTCTGCAGCATAATCAATTTGTGTTATAATTTTGGTAGACCTACTAACTCCTAAATTTGTGAAATTTTAACATGTTATACATTGCGATGTGAACTTCAAATCTGAAAAATTTCATGAGTATTGACTGAAAACTTAATGTTTGGTAAATTTTAATCTCGGGCCTATAATGCGGAATTTTTGCAGTATATTCCATTTGGAATTTATTTTTGGCTCACTTGTAAAATTTCCAAAATTATGAAATTTTAGGAAGTAATAGATTTATATGTCTACTCTATATTTGAAAATTTTCACGATAATCTAATAAGAATTAAATTTCAATAAAATTGCAAACTAAAGTAGTAGTGCTGAAACTTCAGACTTCAAATAACTAGTTATGTTCGAGAAATATCTTTTTTCAGGGTAATGCTAGTAAGACTACATTTAGAAATAAAATTTACAAACTAAATAATGTGTCACCAATTAGAATGAGCACGTTTATCAACGTTAAATAATAAATCAATTATCAATTTTTATGTTTTTTAATTCTAAAATTAGTCTACAAATAATTAGTCTTTATAACATTACCTTTTGTTTCGATATGTTTTTATTAGTTTGACTGACGCGTGTACGGTTCATGAGATTATGCATGGCATGTAAACCCTTATAAAACCCCACCATTTACCCATTAGTTTCAATCCCTCTCTCTCTATTGGTTGGATCAAGAGCCCTGCACGTTAAAGAAGGTATGCCCTGCAGCTGGTAGCCTGATACATAGAGATCATCATTTAGCAACTGAACAAAGTGTGCTTATCCGTAAGCCGCCTTATATTACTTTCTCCCATTTCCAAGGTATATACAAGACAGCTTCTAGTACTTTCTCGTCGTTTTGTTCAACTTCCACCACATTTTTCAAAATTTCTTCCGTTCCTCTGTTTTCCTTGCTTCTTCTCAGGCCCCCCCCCCCCTTTTTTTTATTATCTTTTTTCCTTCTCTCTCAAGGAAAAATCATACCAGAGAAAATGCAGGTTGCCAAGAAACCATCAGGGATTTCAATGGACCCAACCAACATGGCTGCTGAGTCGGCAGCCGGGAAGATGCTAGCCGAGACCATGAGCCCGCCCATCGCTTACGAGATGGTGAGGCAGCTAGGGGCATGCAACACGGTGGTGGTGTTCAGCATGAGCGGCTGCTGCATGTGCACCGTGGCCAAGCGCCTCCTCTTTGGCCTCGGCGTCGGCCCTACCATCATCGAGCTGGACGAGCATGTCGCCGGACCGGACATCCAGGCCGTCCTCTACGAGCTTGCAGTGGACGGGCAGCAGCCCATCCCGGCCGTGTTTGTCGGTGGGAAGTTCTTGGGAGGCGTGGAAACGCTAATGGCGTGGCACATCAACGGAACCCTAGTCCCCCTCCTCAAGGACTCCGGCGCTCTCTGGCTCTGATCAAGTCATTATCATTATTACTATCATCACTATCATCTCAGTTTCGCACGTATTACATCATAATTATAAGTACTTATCAGGTTTAATATATGAATTAATGTCTTAATATTTCTCGAGCTAGGGTTATTAAGTTTGTCCATGTCTTTCTTTCTAGCTAGCCCTATAGGTTTTATATGTATTACGTACTTTATGAGGTGGTTGTGCAGACTGTGTTGCTAGCTAAAATCTAAGCTGCTAGTTCATATCAATATCTGACAATGAATTAATATTGCAACCATATAATATATATATATATATATATATTTTTTTTTTTCGTTACAATATTTCTTTATTTCGATAATTTCTTGTTATTATGCGATTTGGCAGTGATTTTTACATTTCCGTTCTCTGTTTCTACACATTTGCGGTTGATTTCTCCTTTGGTATATTCAATCCAAAAGCTAAGAAAAATCAATTTCCTCTGCAACGGGTGCTGCATGAATTTGTTTTATGGGAGACTTTGGATGCGGTCCCTAGTTATGAACAATCTTTGACTGAAACCTTATTGGTTTTCAATTTTTGATCCAAGTCCCTGAAATTAATTGATAATTTATTTCTATGTACGTTACTATATTTTTTAAATTAAAAATTAAAATTTATAGTTGTTTATAGTAATGAGATTTTAAATTAAAAAAAACCATAATTTGTGGGATTAAAAATATTAAAATATAAATATACTATTGTGTGTGCGTGTGTGTAAACATGGGTACATTCATAAAAATAACCAAAAAATTATTGTATCAAAAACATGGGTACATTCTTCAAAATGGGTACATTTAGCAAAAATAAAATGGGTACAAATAAATAAAAAATTGGGTACAATACAAATAAAACTTTTAAAAAAATATGGGCACAAAAAGAATTTAATATATGGGGTACAATTAAAACTGAAAGGAAAATTGGTACAAATTAAAAAAGGGTTGCAAATTAAAAATGGGTACAAACTAAAAATAAAAATATATGATAAAAAATTTAGCCATAAGTATAAATATACTAATTGTAACATTTTTAATATTAAATGAATATATTTAGAAATAAAAAATATTTTATTATTGAAATAATTAATGATATTATTAATACAAAGGACCTTGATCAAAAATTGAAAAGTAATAAGGTTTTAATCAATAGAGTAGTAAAAATAAGGATGAAAACCTAATTACTCCTTGTTTTATTTATGTTAAATTTATGAGAGAATTTTTATAAAATCTGGAAAAATATGCAGATGGTAAGTGAAATGGGTGGTGCCTGAAAACTATATTCTGGTACCGGCGAAAATATGGAATAAATTCAAAGGGCAAAACGTCACTCATGACCCTGCAGAACTGAGTACTGAGGACATGCATATGCCATGCGAATACTGGCACTTCTCCAGGCTTACCAATTTTACTAACGGTTCTATTGAGTATTGACCACCTAAGCTGATTTTCTTTTTCATTTCTTTCTTTTTTCCATATAAATAAATTATAGGTTGATATTTCTTTTCAATTTTTGTGCTGGTGAAGTAAAAAAGTACTATTTAATTACGGTGAAGTTGTTCCAACTCTGAAAAGAGTAGACAAAATGAGTAAGAGAGAGAAAGAAAGTGGCTGTCGGGCTGAAGGGGCAGTTTGTACGGCTGAGATTTGCCCCAGACAGAAGAATAAATGATTACAACAATGCGATCAGAGATCATCAGAGAGTGAGAGTTTTTTTAATTATAAATATATATCTTTATATTCTCCTCTAATTATTTTATTAACTGTAATTTTCCCAGAAAATTTTAGTGAATTTTCTCTGGAAAGGAAAGGAATATCAGAAGATATGAAATTTGACCATGATCTTTGCTGTTTCGAGAAATGAAGTACGTGTGACCCTTGAAGAATCCCCAACATTTTTGTTTCCCTGACCAGCTGACCCCCTCCTTCATATGATTCATTGACCATTTTCAAACTGATCGATCTTGTTTTTATCTGACTCTTTGACTAGCAAATATATATATATATATATGTATGTATGTATGTATGTATATATTTTTTTTGGGTTTTCATTTCTTTTGCTGCATGCAACGTTTCCATTTCTTTTATTGAAACCGATATGTAGTGAGAAGTTAAAAGTTGGGTAAACAATATCCAAAGACATTTGTTGGATTTATATTGTGGTTTTCTTAAGTGCTTTTGTTATAAACACTTTTATTAGAAGCACGTCAAATTTTATGTGATATCCAAAACTGAAAAGTGCTTCTGACTTCTTTATAATGTTAGAAGGACGTTTAGGTATATGACAGTGCTTTTGGCATTGTACAAGCATTTCCGAATGAAGTATGTGTCGTGTTTGTGCACAAAACAAGTAATGACAAATAACCATATGAGTCTAAACACAAAATTACTCAATGTGGATTAAAATAGCAATGTCGATATTGTTTAATTTCAAACAGGAAAATTGGCTTTAAACAATATACATTAAACTTTTCCGTAATTCTATTTATACACACAAAACAAACACTATTATTAATGCACTATTCAATATAATTAAACCCTACTATTATATAAGAAAACTCACCTATATTAGAGATTGTGCCAACAATGATGTTGGAATTTTGCGTGTCGAACTATCATTACTCTAAATTTTCAAACTCTAAAACTTAAACTCATAACATCTTAGTTGTGGGGCGAGGACTAAAGTATCCAAGGTGGGATGGGTAGCAAATCAACTCATTGGGTTGTTAATGTGTACACGTTAAGACCCATTTAGTTCGATTTCACCTTACACCATTATATCCATTATCAATCTCACATCTGTATTATGGTGATATCAAATTAAATGGGTCTTAACATGTATCCATTAACAACCCAATAGGTTAATTTTCCACCTCTTGATAAGCTCCTAAAAGGGTCTACGAATCATTTCACCCTCATCGTCCCTTTCTTCTAGGGATTATGCTAGCAATTTTCTCATTTGTACTTTCTTCTTCTACCTTCTCATTTCTTTTTGCAATCGTGCAATGTTTGTCTAGTGATCAAAGCAATCTATTTTCTAGGCCACCCTTAAAAGTCAGCTTTACAAAAATTGCCATAATTTCAATTCTAATGTGCAACTAAAATTATAACTTGTCTATATACATAAAAAAAAAAAAATAGATGATTCGTATCATCTTGAAACATTGCATATAAGTTAGTGATATTCCTCTCCCCTAAATCAACGAAGAAAATCAAAATAAGAAAGAGCCCATTGCACATTCAAATTTGGGCTTTAAAACCAGCTCAGCCATATAGATTGAAACACACCAACCAAGCCCAATATTACCTGACTCGGCCCAGCCCAAAATTCTCACCTCATTCCGTATTCCCGCTGGCGCTGATTTTGTCGGACTTTCCCAACTGTCCACGGTCGGCCGTTGATTTGTCGGACTTTTCCCAACTGCCCACGGTCCGCCGTTGATTTTCTCTGCAGTGTCCTCCTCGCCCATCGTTACGACGCCTAATCAAATCAAATTAATTCTTCCCAATTAAAACTAAACCCGCTTTTTTCCACGTCCTTATAAATACATTTCCTTCCCAGCTAAACAGAGATCACAAAACCGAAAACCCAGAATTTTCCTCCTCATTTTCTCCGGAACCAAACAGGGTTTTATATAGATTTGTAGGTCTTCGTACACAATTTGTTGCATTAATGGTCGGGGCAAAGGGAAAACCGAGGCGATGGCTTTGGGTCGTCGGTGCGTTGATCGCGGTCTTCGTTGCCGTTGCATTGACTTCCAGAAGTGCTCCGAAGATATCGTTCTTCGGCCGCTCTAACAAGGCTTGTAATTGTTCTCAGGTATGGATTCTTGCATGTTCTGTTTGGTTGCCGAGAAAGTAGAGGGAAAATTTCATGAGAAAGATGAAAACTTGATGGCCTGTTTGTTTTCGGTTGTGAAAGTTTGGAGCTTTACATTTCGGGTCATTGTCTGTAAGATGGCACATTGTTGAATTTGGTTTATTATTCAGATGAATGATGAATGATTTGTTGTTTGAATTATGTGAAATTGGACTTCATGTTGGTAAAAGTGTAAATTTTATCTTCTTGGTTGTTACAAGTTGGGATTTTGATTGTTCTTCTGCTTGATTTTTACCCCTCTCATGATCTGTGTAGGAAACGCACAAGTATAGTGGGATAGTGGAGGATTGTTGTTGTGATTACGAAACCGTAGACCATCTTAACAAGGAAGTTCTGCATCCATCACTCCAAGAGCTCGTCAAAACTCCGTTCTTTCGATATTTCAAGGTTAGATGATTTCTATAAATTGGCTAGATTTGCATGTTTGTTAAGAAATAATACTCATTTTGAACTTTGCTGCTGTTTACCATTTGTGTATCTGAATTTTGTGGAGCATGGTTGATAATGTGTGCTAGGTTAAGTTATGGTGTGACTGCCCTTTCTGGCCTGATGATGGTATGTGCCGTCTGCGGGACTGCAGTGTATGTGAATGCCCAGATAGTGAGTTCCCCGAGTCGTTCAAGAAGCCCTATCATGGCCTTCCTGTGGATGATCTTATTTGCCAAGAGGGAAAGCCTGAAGCAGCTGTTGACCGTACACTAGATAATAAAGCTTTCAGAGGATGGACAGAAATAGATAATCCCTGGACAAATGACGATGAGACAGACAATGGTTTGTATCCTTGCTTTTCTTTCTTTCTCAACTTAGCTGTTTCATATATGTTAGCTTATGTTTGCAGTTGAATGCCATTCCTGCCAATTGTATATTCTGCTTAAATTTTAATATTTTATTGAGTTTACATGATTGATTGCATATTTACGTTTGCAGCTGAGATGACATATGTAAATCTTCAACTGAATCCTGAACGATATACCGGCTACACTGGTCCATCTGCTAGAAGGATATGGGATGCTGTCTACGCAGAGAACTGTCCTAAATGTAAGACCTATTTTTCTCTTTTTTTACCCTAATGAATGTACCTAAAACGTTCTTGTCTTTAGTTTCCAGACATGTAACCTTGTTGACAAAATGCTTCTTAAAAATGCTTTACTTTTACAAGTTGAACTAGAGCTCTTAATGAGCCCTTTTGTTAGACTATTGTGGGCACTGTAATCTCATAACTTGGGTTAGCCGGGATCTTTCGATATCATTGTGCCCATTTCCGCTTTTACTCCATTCTATTTTGGTGCCTATTTATTAACAGATTTTACCTTCTGTTAACCTTAATTGTGTTTTGAATTGGACCTTAGGACTTTTGGGGCAGAATCATTAACCAAGTTTTGGGTTTCAATATTCCCATTCAAAATGTTTTGCATGTGTTTTTTAGTTGACTTGTATGCTTATTTTCAAAATTACAAGTTAGCAGTTCCTTTGCGGATATTTCAGTTTATGCACTTGCCTTTAATGTTTGGGACAGTTACACTGCATGTTTCATTGTGTTTAAGAGATGACGTGAGTTATTTAGTAGTCGTTATTATTTAAGAATAAGAATTTTGTTTTAATTTTCAACTTCATCTCCAGATCCATCTGAAGAGTTATGCACTGAAGAAAGAATTCTGTACAAGTTGATATCTGGCCTTCATTCCTCCATTTCAGTCCACATAGCTTCTGATTATCTCCTTGATGAAACTACACAGACGGTACAAGTTCTGATTCATAATTTTCTTTAAAACTTACATTTGATAAGGCAACAAACAGTTTCCATGGTTCCTGAAACATTTCAAACTGTATCCAACCCCCAGCCCTGCTGTTCGAAATTTAGTGCTAACCATACTTTAATATAAAAAATGGCAATCTTGGCTGTTTCATTAATAGATGCGCCGTAAAGGCAACTTTTATCTTTCACTCTACTTATCATTTTGTGGTTCTACTTAAAGATCTTACTTCTTTTTCTTCTTTCTAAATTTTGTGTTTCAGTGGGGTCAAAATCTCTCATTGTTGTATGATCGGGTGTTAAGATACCCAGACCGTGTCAGAAACTTGTACTTCACGTATCTCTTCGTTCTCCGAGCAGTGACAAAGGTGGGTATAAGCTAGAATCCTTTTGAAAGCATTATGCTATTCTTATTGTCAGGGATACTGAAGCATACTGAGTCTGCTGAGAATGGTTTCTTGTTCATTTTTGAAAGCATTGTTTGCCTTTGAGATAATAATATCAATCTTTTTCAAATGCATTCAGGCTGCAGATTACTTGGAACATGCAGAATATGACACTGGAAATCCTACTGAGGACCTGAAGACACAATCCTTGGTGAGACAGCTACTCTATAATCCCAATCTACAAGCTGCATGCCCTGTCCCATTTGACGAAGCTAAGCTGTGGAAAGGCCAACGTGGACCTGAACTAAAGCAGAAAATACAAAAAGAGTTCAGAAACATTAGGTATTCTAGGTTTTTTTTTGTTGGACTTGGTGTCTTATATATGTGGTTAATCATACTGAGGATGGCACGAATTTTTAACTGGCATCCACAATGTAGTATCTAAAGTTTTCCTCTTTTCTTTTTTTGGGTTTGGTTGTTCAGAAACATAGAGGTCGCACTTGGTGCGATGGCAAGTGCCTTCGCCCATGAGCGGTAGGTCTCGGGTTCGAGACTTGGGAGCAGCCTCTCCATAAAATGGGGGTAAGGCTAGCCGACATTCACCTCTCCGAGACCTTGCGTAAAGCGGGAGCCTTGTGCACTGGGTACGACCTTTTTGGTTGTTCAGAAACATATCATTTATGTGACTAATTTAAATGTTTGTGTTGTATTGTAGTGCATTGATGGATTGTGTTGGATGTGAAAAATGTCGACTTTGGGGGAAGCTTCAGGTCCTTGGTTTAGGCACCGCACTTAAAATCCTCTTCTCTGTTGACGGTCAACAAAATACTGTTCAGATTGTAAGTATCTCTTTAAAAGCTAACTTTATATGGCACTCGCTTGAAGAAACATGTTTCCTGCTATGGTATTTAGTCCGGTCTCAAAAGTTTGCTGATGGAACCCTTTTGTGCCTTGAGTGTTTTGCCTTTGATTTAGAGGCATGCACAGAAGATAATCACAGCTAAGTTAGTTGGGAAGATTTTGAATAATTAATAGTTATCGCATATGGTAGAAGGTTAAGGTTCTAGCTGTGAAACTATACTGAATTGGATTTTTCCCATATAGTTTATCTAATCGACCCTAATTGTGCAACTCTCGGTAAGCCATGTCAACACCATATCCTACTTTGTTAAAAATGACATGGCACGTACAAATTTCCCATCAGTAGTGATTCTTGTAGGAATGGACCTACATCTGCCAAAGTGTTCGCGTCAGTTTAAAATGACAGTACAGTTTTGCTTAATTCCTTTTTGCCAATTGATGCAGCACATACGTGTCACTCGTCATTTGTGATTACATCATTTGTAGGTGTTGTTGTTGAGCACTGATAGTCTGATATACTTTCTGTATCGACTGAACTGTATTGTATTGTTCTTCAGCTGCACTTGCAAAGAAATGAAGTGATTGCCCTGATGAACCTACTCAATCGGCTCTCAGAATCTGTCAAGTTTGTTAATGAAATGGCATCGTCAACTGAAATGCTCGCAGAAGGGCAGATTTCTTCACCCACTGCCCCAAATTGCCCCTTGCAAAGGATGTGGGCGTCAATGTTTACTACACCAGCCCCAAGTTGCCCATTGCAAAGGATGTGGGCATCGTTAAAACCTAGGTAGGCAAATTGAGGTTATGGCTAATCTCTCTTCCTGTTCTAGCTCTTCGATTCTTGCTGTTGCTAAGCAGATTACCTATGTTTTCGCAGGTAAGGAGAACTAACTGGCGAGACCGTAAAGCAGAACGAAATCTTCAAAATAGTTTAAGAAACTGCAGAGAAATGTAAAAGTACTATATTAGATACAGATGTGTCCCCTTCTATGAAGGGATACAGACGTGTACAAACTCAAAACAATGCGAAAAATCTGAGCTTTTGAAATTCGATTACCATAGCATTTTCTTCATGTCATCATGGGGTTTGCTGAAGGTCTCTAGTAAAACTCGGTGGCCAAGGACTTCTGTTATTGGGGAATGAATTTCCTTTCTTGTGAGGTTAATGCCATTGTTATATGTACCGGTCTAGTGAGGGCATGTTTGGAACTTTATCTGGAAAGGCCAAAAGTGCTTTCTGACAACCAAAAGCACTTCCAAGTGGATGAGTGCTTCCTACCGAATCAGTCCCAAACATGCCCATTGTTTCCTTTTGTTTCATCTGCATCAACATTATACTACTATTGGTGCACTCAAATAAGATACATTCTGACAAATAGCATTCATTTGATCCACAAGTGAAGCAAAACCTACATACAACTAGGCAAGGGACGCTCCCTTGCGATAACCAATTTTTACAAACTGCTGCTTCTGCAACCGTAATGAACCAAAATAACAGGGCACTTTTCGTGCATCGTTCGAAATTTACATACATCATAAGAGATGATAAATGCTTGTATCTTGTGTTGCGCCTAAACAATCCGAAAGTCAGGAACTACACTCCAAGCGAATTTTCTGTGCATATTCGAGAGTAAGCTGCTAACAACATCAGTGTCTAGCTGGTTTCTTTAGACGCTTGGGGGGCCGCATTATCTCCTTCTTCAGATCCTCTGGGGGTTTCAGGTCAATAAATGGCTGCAACCATATTCAAAAGACAAATTCATCATTCTATAAAACTTAAAACCAGCAATGCACAGTGAAATTCCGTAATCCTGACATATAACAATAAAACTTTTCAATTGACAATAAACTAAATTGGGAGGCATTTAAACATATTTTCCAACTGAACTATTTCATATGACCATCCAGTCTGTAATTCTCAAACCAATAACCCTTCGGATTCTGGACCTTGAATATATAGGTCATTCCTTCTCACATTGTTTAAAAACGATGAGCACGAAGGTTAATGAGATGTAAGCAATTTTTTCAAGGCATAAAAACTTAACTGCTTATCAATCGTATGAGAAAACCGTCGAGCCATAGAATGGGAAAAGTATTCACCCGAGACCTACCCAACTCTAATCTACTACACTTTATAGCATCATTGCATAGCCAAGAGTCATTACCACATTAGTCAACAACTTCAACTGAAAGATCTTAACTCTAACTCGGTATTCAAGAGATGTAAATACAGGAGACCAGAATGGGAAGGCATCACAGGAATGCTAAAGCAAACCAACCCCAGTTTTATCAGAATACTCAGGGAGCAAGGGTACATCTCCCCGCCATCCATTTTGACTTTATTAGTAGGACAAGGCTGGGACAGAAAAACCGGCCGTGCCTAGCTTTGTTGCCATTCCTAGAAACACCGTTTAACTGGAATATACAGATCACTTGATGAGGAGTTAACCATACCCATAATTAACACATTCCGTAATGTGTGAACATGTGTTTATCAAATGAGTAACAATATATCAAACCGAAAATTAGAAATAAATAAGAGGGCATCATATATTACCTCATCTGATTTCCTTTGAAGTTCCAAAATTTCTTGACAGTATGCAAGGCACTCCGCATGGTATGCAGCAGCTAACTCTTTTATCAAGGCCTTTCTTTTAATGATGCCAATCACTTCAAAAAAACAATATGACAAAGGTTAGATCCCTGGAAAAGGTTCACTACATGTCAGTTTCCACAAGGAACAAACAACAATCCCGATTCTTTAACAGTATATAGCAAGAAAAACACACATCATATCTAAAGTTTCCACGGGAGCGATACCGCTTGAATTGGGGGAATGAAATTGCAACATGTGATTGGACATATGACAAATTACTGCATTAGCTATTGAACTATCGATTGTGTGTTCCGTACTTCATATCTAAACCATCTCAGAGAGCATGCGAAAGACTCCAGAACTCTCACCCACAAATTCAAGTGAAATATGAAAGAAGAAGAAAACATGGGTTCATCTTTGTTTCCTACTTCCTACAGAGAAATATATTACTATTAACACAGATGTAGTTACACAAAAAATTGCAATCACTGACCCAATGTTTCAAGAAAATTGAACAAAAACTTGAGGGTTAATTTAAAATTTGACAGATTTATAAGCCTCAGATATTTACTATGTCATGATTTCCCAATCAAAAAGTCAAGTAATTGAATCCCATTATACAACCTGCAAACCTTAAACTCAACTTGGATTATGAAATTCCGCATCTTTCAATAAACCCAGATGGAAAAATTCAAATCCAAAAAAAAAACCCAGTAGAGAGAGAGAGAGGGTGAGAGAGAGAGAGAGGGAGTTACTTCGACTGGGATCGAAAGGGGGAGGAGGAGGGCTGGTTTGGGTGGAGGGTTCCTGAGAGGTCGCGTCGGAAGAAGGTGGAGGAGCTTCTTCTCCTTCTTGCTGCTGTTCTTCTTCTTCTTGACCCATTGGGGGTTCTTTTCTTTCAATCGGAATTCCCAGAATCCTCTGTGGGCAGATCGCTAATCAGCGACAGCAACGGGGTTATTTGAATAGCTCGGAATTACCCAGGATGTTTATGATTATGTTTAAATATAATTACAACGCAGGTAAAGAACTAGGTTAGGTATAACTATAAGCCGACAACATTGTACGGCGAAGGTTCTACCCTGCTACAACCACAGCGGACCTCTCTTCTACATCTCTTCTCCTTCTGTGTTGCGGCAAATTATTTGTGTTCTATTTTTGGTCGGAAATTATGTGTTTTTTCATGTTGGAAAAATTATTCGGGTGTAAAATAAACCATGCTTGGAAGGACATTTAAAATGACTGAACGTATGTCATTTTAAAAAAGAATTTAGAGTTTAAAAAGTACGTTTTAAGAAAGAAGCATTAATTTTGTGATTTTTACATGAAGCACATAAAGTATTTTTTCAAAGTTTAATTATATTTTCACTACGAATTGGTTTCAAAACATCTCCAAACGAATCCTAAATTATAGCCCTTTTGGAACTGTTTTGTTTTGTAAATGATTGAGAGCGTTTTTAGTAAAATATGTTTTTGAAATCAAATTTTAATAAAAATGCAAGTAAATCTTGGTACCTTCGAGAAGTACCTCAAATGCGTTTGAAATAAAAAAATATTTTCTCTAAAACGATTTTAATCATTTTAAAAGTATTTTATAACGAGCATTTAGTGTAAACTTATCATCTACGAAATTTAAAAAAAACACGAATTTTGAGAAAAAAACGATAAAATGAAAAAGAAAAAAAAAATAATTCAAAGTGGTTTTATGGTCATTTAAAATATTGTACTTCCATGTAAAACCCTTCTCCTTTACCTTAAAACCCTCGCAGACAGAGATCAAACAAAATCAGCAGGACCGCCGTCGCCAATTTCCACCATGAGCCTAATCGCGGGTTCCTACGAGAAGTTCATATGGGGCTTCAAGCTCAGACCCCTAAACCCTAGCTCCGATTCCCAATCCCTAACCCTAACCCCTCTCTTCTCCTACCCCTCCCACCTCTCCTCAATCACCACCGTCGCCACCGCCGGCTCAGCCGCTGCCTCCGGCGGCACCGATGACACCATTCACCTCTACGACATGTCCTCCGCCACCTCCCTCGGTTCCCTCCACGACCACTCCGCCACCGTCACCTCCCTCTCCTTCTTCACCCCTCCCCACCTCTCCTTCCCCCTCAACCTCATCTCCGCCGACGCCGACGGGTCCCTCTGCATCTACGAGGCCGACCCTTTCGTCCTCCTCAAGAGCCTCAAGCCGCACCGGAAGGCCATCAACGACGTGTCGTTGCACCCGTCCGGGAAGCTGGCGCTGACGGTGGGGAAAGACGAGTGCTTGGCGATGATTAATTTGGTGAGGGGGAAGAGGAGTTTCTATTGCAGAGTGGGGAAAGAGGCAAGCTTGGTGAGCTATGATTTCTCTGGAGAGAAGTTCTATATGGCTATGGAGGAGAAGGTGATGGTTCATGAGGCTGAAGATGCTAAGTTGCTTTGCGAATTCGAGAATTCGAAGCGAGTTCTTTGTGTTGAGCCCGGGGAGGTTAGTTTCTTTAGCATTTGGTATTTGGTTTTCGGGTTAAATCTGTCTCCTTTATGCAATTTATGATCTGCACATTGATAATGTGAGTGATTAGTCTTTATGTTATCTGTGTGTAAGAATCCCAAAATATGGATCAAAGTACTTACTCTAGAATCGCTTTTATTAGAACCACAACACATATTTTGTTAAAGATCAAAGTACTTCTGCAAAAGCGCTTCTTAAAGAAGCACATTGTGCTTCTTTAAGGACTTTCAGTTATTTCTTCAAAACAATGCGATAAGTGCTTTTGGTTATCTGGAAGTGCTTGTAGCCCTTCCGAATGCATTTCCCAATAGGCCCTTACTTATTCATACATTGTCTGCAATTTTCCTTTGAGTAAGTGTATTGCTACATTTGCAGTTCTTCGTTTTACTAAGATCTTTTTTACTATTCAGCTCGCAGTCTTGCTTGTTTTCATGCTAAAGCAGTTTGTTAAAGAAGTTGCTACATTTTAAAGAAGCTTGCCCAAATATTACATTTTGATTTTTGACAGAATGGAGTTTTATTTACTGGTGGTGAAGATCGGAGTATTACAGCGTGGGACACAAACAGTGGGAAGGTTGCATATCGCATTGAGGATGCACATTCTACCCGTGTGAAGGGAATTGTTACGCTTACAAGCAAAGCAGGTGCTGTAGCCAATGAGGATCCCTATCTTGTGGCATCTGCCTCGTCAGATGGGGTTATACGTGTTTGGGATGTTCGCATGGCTGTTAATGAGAAGCCAAATCCATTGGCCGAGGCTAATACAAAATCAAGGCTTACTTGTCTGGCTGGATCATCTCTTAAATGTAAGATTTCTGCTTGGGTAGCTTGAATTTTTCTTAATTGTTGGATTTCACGTATAAGTGAACTATTAGTAGTATTGTTCTGGAGTTTTCTCTTCTCCGTACAGTTGGTTTGCTTGTGCGGTGTGAAATGTGGCTCACTGTAGTACCGTAGTACCTATCTTGATTTCCCATTTTCTGATGCAATGTGAATACGTGATTATGTTTATGGATGTAGAATTGTTCTGTAATTCTTTTTTCCAGTGGCCCTTTCTCTTATTATTCTCTCGTTCCTTCTTGTACAGCTTTCAAACGGCCACAGGTTGGAAAAAACGTTCAAGAAGAGAAGCATGATGCAGAAACATAAGGTGTATAAGTTATAACTAAATCAAAATAGCTTCCTATGTGTGTGCCTGTGTGGTTCTTGGCATTGCTGAGAAACCGGAAATGGAGATTTGTTACCCAAAGTGGCCGTGCTTGATCCAGCATATCAATTTTGTCTTGGAACTTGTTTGTATCAATGTTTAAGTATTTAATCATGAACTTCTGTGTATCGTCGTGTTCTTTTCAATTTTCTAGTAAAGATATTCCTGTGTAAATCTGAGTTTTGAGTAAAACTGTATGGAAGTAAAACCAAAACTTGAAATGTGTTAAGAAAATGTAAGTGAAGGCCAAATGTTCCTCCAAATCCAACTAACAGAATTGGAGTTTATGACAGAGTTGGCTCGGAAGTATTGAACAGATGAAAGGGAGCTCGATTCTAGTAATCGTGTCGTGAAGAATCAAACTTGGACCGGTGACAGAATTGAAGACCTGTCCGGAAAGACCGAGGAGGCCGAGGTTTGCGTAGCAGCCGAGCAGCTTGGAAGAGAGTGTTGGGTTCTGGTGCTGGCTGTGAAGGACGAACCTGGCGTGGAGTTGCCTGAGCTTTCTTGGTTCAGTGCAGAGGCCAGGTTTATGGGATAGTGAAGGAATTTGAGGAGGAGAGGGTTGTGGAGAACGTGTCTTGACCGTTGGGAGTGAAGCATGTTAGGCAGAAGGGAGACCAACGGGCATAATCTTGGTGTGATGAGTTAATGTAAAAAGTTGGGTCCTAAAGAAGGATTATCGGCTAAATTTTTTGAAGTATCTCATGCTCCGTAACATTAAAGAAAATCGTAATTGTTTAATGGAAGCATAAAAACTCATAAAGAAAAACATTTATCAGATATATTGCCGACTATTTCAACTGCACCACCTTAACTCATATCTTTTATGAAGTAAGTCTGTCATAATTAAGTATTAAAATTGCAATTCATGTGAGTTGTGATCGTTATAATTTCGCAATTCAAATGAGTTGTGATAACTAGAGACATTCCACTAATAACTAAATAAGAATACTATCAAAAGATAATCTTAGTGGCATTCGATGATACACTCATAAAAACGGATGCACAATCTGTTTTAACCAACTGACCAAACTTTTAATAAAAAATTTAAGTTAAGCTGCACAATTAGTCGATCATAATTAATTATGAAACCATCACACTTATACAGGCGAGAAAAAAAATTTAAACTCGAATGCATAGCGAACACGACTATTTTAACCAATGTTCTGCCTCAAGTCTGCCTGCACAATAGGTTTTTTTATTTTTTTTATTTTTTATTTTTTATGAAGAGAGAATAGAATAATACACCATTCAACTATTTGAGCGTTGAAACTTGAAACAGAGAGAAGGAGGAGTGGTAAACAGAAGTTTCCGATATTTGGGAAGTTGCTGCCCTCGAAAGCTAAGAATTTATGTAATTTGACAACAACAAAGACATATTAGATCGGAAGATTTGAAAGATTTGAGCTTTGTCTCAGCGCCAAGTCATCTCTTCCTTCTTCCCTCCTCCTTCTTTCAATTCCCACTAAACCCCCAATCCAATCGCCCATATCTTCACCCAATCTTCACAGGTATTTCCAGATCTCACTGCTCTTTCAGTTTCATCTACATTTTAATTGAATTAAATTTTGTTTAAATTTTGTTTTTTGATTGAACCCATTGGGTGTTTGGTTGCTGAGAAATGTAGGAAAAAGAAAGAACGTAAATTGATGCATTTTTTTATATTTTATTTTCTGGGTTTTGTAGGAAACAGGGAAAACTAGAACCCTTAAACCGATTGAGCTTGATTCCGCTATTTCGAGTTTTCGATTAGTTAGCTACCCATTTTGCTTTGGTTAGTGTGGTGGGCAACTCAGTTTGCTTAATTTGGGATATACATACAAACTGGGGAACTGAGACTGGTTCTGAAGTTTGAACATAGGGCTGGTTAAAGATAGTGCATTGTTGGGGTTGTATTGTTGAAGATTGAACTTGATGGAAGTGGATGGAAGTGCCTCAACAGTTTCTAGGGGTGCTCAATCAATTCCACGGCAAACCAGGCGACAGAAGGGTATGTTTTTCGGAACTTTCCCATTTCTAATCGTGGCTCGGTCACCTTAGATGTGCTCTGAAACTTCATTCAGGTTCTTTCTATGCGATTCTTTATCACACATTGTTGTAGAAATTAGAGTTATTGAGGATTACAATCTAAGAATATTCCATCAAGTTCCATGCAAAAAAGCTGCATAACTGTGCTTTTAGATGTTTTTATAGTAAATCATCTAATTTTTGGTCACCTGAGTAGCTGAGTTGTATATCAAATTACGTTTCAAACTTCAGAGTTTCGAAGCATGATCATTAAAGTAGTTGTCATGGCTTTGGAAAATGACGTACTGGAACAATTGTGCAATGATAATAGCATGGAGGCATACAGTCCACCATGTATTAATGTGTTTTTAGCAAGAATCTGATTTGAAAAAAGAGAAGATCTTGTACTTCGTCTATTTTTGTTAAAAAATAATCGTTATGTTTATGTTTTGTTTTTTTCTTTTTGTAGCTTTTTATCAATTTCAACAGCAGAGTCTACCGGCTTGTAAACCCGTCCTCACACCAGCATGGGTGAGTTATTGATTATCATAAGCAACTCTTATGTAGTAAGCACTTCACTAGATATGTTGACTCTGTGGCATTAACTATCTTTTCTGCAGGTGATTACCACATTTTTATTGATCGGGGCCATTTTCATACCTGCGGGGCTTATTACTCTTAACGTCTCCCAGAATGTAAAATCTCGTCTCTGTTGCTCTTTCGTTCTTGTTTTCAGTTGCACCCATATTTGGTTTGGAGCATAAATTTGTGGATAGTTATTTGTTTGATATCTGATGCATAGGTTGTGGAAATTGTGGACCAATATGATGCGGAATGTGTACCAGAGGCATTCAAGAGTAACAAGGTGGCATATATCAAAGATAACTTAATTCCTAAAAACTGTTCTCGGTACTTGAAGGTAATTCATTTTTTGATTTTGAATAGACCGTTAGCTATTACATTCCTTGCAACTTGTTGATTGGATTTATTGTCTGCTTCTTTAAGGCTGTCACAGAATACGAAACTGCATATTGTCAGTTATATAGATAACAGGTATCATCATTAATCATTTAATTATATATAGCTTAAGCGGTTAGGGTTGTGTTAGAGGCAAGACCGTAGCATCACATTATGTAGAGTAGTAGAACCGTAAAGGAGGAGCTGGTAAGTTGAGAATTGCAAATTCTATTGCTTACTACCCAGTGACTGTGCCAACTTTTATTTCCAATGCTTATTATCCAATATCCCATGATGTAAGAACTGATACATTTCTTGCATGCTGATTCATTATTCAAGTTGCTTTCACAGACAGTGGTTTAATCTTAAAATGACTTTTCCATTAGTCTTTAAACTTTGAATCCAAGAAATTTGGTGATCTATGACTCAAAATTATTGATCGGAGTGGAAAGTATTGTGCTATGAACAGTTGTGTTGACTTTGAATTCTTCTATAACTATGGTTAGGTTCAGATCCATTCCTTTCCAAATATTTTCCTTAATTTAGATGCTTTGCTCCAGTAGTTTGTGTGGTTTCCAAGAAACCAAAAAATTTACGTAGAGTGCTTTGAGGTATTCACAACTTTGTTTAGTTACTTTTTGTCTGAATCTTTTCATGTATGATGTATTGGGTTGAATTTTTTCGTTTGTTTTATTCAACCATGTTGTTTTTCATGTTACTTTTGATTCTAAATTTACTTATGTATCTCTCTTTGAAGGTTTACAAGGACATGAAAGCTCCAATTTATATCTACTACCAGCTTGATAACTACTATCAAAACCACCGACGGTGAGACTTCTTTCGTTTATTCCAGCATAGCAATGAGTCTGTCACTTATTTTGATTTACCTTTGTTCCTACCTTTTTAATTTCCTTTGAATGTTTATTTATTCCAGCATTCTGAAATGTATTTGGTTTCTATGTCTCCAACAACTGTCTATTCTTCATGATAAGCTATTAGTGCTTTGAATTCTCAAACAAGTACGGTGGGATAATATGTAGCAGATCTGGGCTTCAGACTTTAGTCATATCTTTGTTCCGTGGGTCTCTTTGCCTCTGTTTTTTCTGTCACGAGAAATCTTTTTGGAAGATGCATCACAGTGGGGAAAATTAATTTTGGATACACTCCTAAAAACTATTGTAATAGACATTATAGAATTTTCAAAATTTACTGGTCTATGTGGGGGCTTAATGTTATAGGTAATTCAAAGAATGAATAATTTGCTACAACAACAACAACAACAAAGCCTTTTCCCACTAAGTGGGGTCGGCTAAAAGAATGAATAATTTGCTAATCCAGGGAAAATTATTTGGATAATTTATTATTCAATATCCGGCTATTTGGTTGTGATGAGTATGTCACTGGAAAACTTGGAGAAGTCAAGTTTCTTTGTTGTCTGATTTTGGAAATAACAGTTTATGCCTGAAGATTCTTTCTCTTTTGTTTTTTCTATCTACTTTTCGTTTATCATGAAAAGTCTGTTAAATCATATTTTACTGAGTACTGTTCCCTTTTATGTTAATTTTTATGGCAAGTTAACTTTTATGTTACTGGTTTTGATATCAGCCGTATTGTTTTACAGTTTTACTCATCTGATTCTCATTTTTTCAGGTATGTCAAAAGTAGAAGTGATCAGCAGCTTTTACATGGATTGGGGCACAATGACACAAGCTCCTGTCAACCTGAGGAGTCCAACAAGGATCTTCCCATTGTTCCTTGTGGCTTGATAGCATGGAGTTTGTTTAATGATACATATACTTTTATTCGCGGAAGATCAGAATTAAAAGTCAACAGGAAGGACATAGCTTGGAAGAGCGACCGTGATCACAAATTTGGGAAGCATGTATATCCCTTTAATTTCCAGAACGGGACCTTGATTGGTGGTGCAAAGCTAGATCCAAAAATTCCTGTAAGTATTACAACTGCACAACAATCTATTAATATTGCTCTCCATGCTCCTATACCCTGGAATATGATGCCGCCATTTTATAGTTCGTAGACATGGCTTGTAAAAAGGATACCCGTTATATATTCTCTCCACTTCTGTAATTTCTTTGAGTAAAACTGAGCTCTTACAATATCTCTGGATTTCTCATAAACTGTTGGTAAATGTTGCTGTATTGAATTAGCTAAGCGATCAAGAAGACCTTATTGTATGGATGCGGACAGCTGCGCTCCCCAGTTTCCGGAAGCTGTACGGTAGAATTGAAGAGGATTTGGATGCAGATGATGTTCTAGTAGTGAATCTAACGAACAACTACAATACTTACAGTTTTGGTGGAAAAAAGAAGCTTATCCTTTCAACATCAAGTTGGTTAGGAGGAAAGAATGACTTCCTTGGACTTGCCTACACTTTTGTTGGTTCAACTTCCATATTCATTTCTGTTGTCTTCTTGTTGCTGCATGTGAAATATCCAAGGTAGATATGATATATATCGGTGCATGACTTCTCCATCTTGTGCATATTATTGTTGCTACATCTAACGTGTAGAGATGCCATATGTTTGACTAGTGGAGCTAACGAAATTACTATATCATGAGAAGAATACTGCTCGTCTTTTTACTGAGAGTTATCTGTCAGTTTATATTTTTGCCGGATTACCTCCAAATATTAGTGAATTTCATTCTTGGATTTCACTGATAACTGCTTTGTTCTGCAGAACTCTTTAATCTCCATAATTGGGTTGCCTTCTCAACTTTGCACTGCCACCGGTTGTCATACTCATTCTGTTAGTCCTTCATTCATATTTGTTTCTCGTCCCTTTATTCTTTCTTCGTATTAACATCTTTTATGCCTTTATACAGTTATACTGCATGTACTTGTGCATTACTTCATCTTTTGTTGACTTATTATGTTTGTTATTAGTCATTGAACGATTATATTCAAAAAATTTAAGTTCATATACTTTATACGTAAAGATCATTTATACCCCGATATGCTAAATTGCTAATTTTCATATCTGTTTCGTTGTTTGGTTTGTTTATCTTTGCAGGCCCTCTGCTATGGAAAGAACTTATCTCTCTTGGAACAAGAAAACCATTTCCAGCAGAAGAGGTGATGATACTTTTTGAATAGTTTGAATCAAGTGGAAGTAATGTAACCTCAACACACACACACGAATTATTGAAATCTCAATCGATTAGTGTACTAGGAAAAATAGAAAGGGGATCTATTTTTCTTCTTCTTCTTCTGTGAAATGTAAGAAAAACAGCGTGTGAGCTAGTTACGTGTTGTACATGCACCGTCATTTTTCTCTGTATCCTTGTACTATATGGTGAAAATTTATTTCGGGTGAAATGCAGGAGACCATTGGCTAAAAACCATCATGCAAATTTAGTTTTTAGACATGTTCAAACATGGATTTGCTTGCATTATATTGGTTGGTTTACATTTCCAAAACCTTTCCTTCCTTTCCCTATTTTTGGAACCCTAATCATTTGAGCCCTATATAATCCATGTCACTCTATCCCATTGATTCCCAATTGAGAAACACAAAATATTGAAGATCATTTCCCCACACCATTGGTTTGCTAGTTCCTTCAAAACCTTTCTTCAATCCTCCTCCGAAACTGATTAAACCCTTCACCCGAAAAGAAGACGAAGAAGAAGAAGAAGGAACTAGCAAGTGATCTTCAAAAGCAATCTTTATATAAAGACTGCTTTTGAGAGAGATAAAATGAAGAAGGGGTTCAAGAGCATGCAGAACTGGGGAGAGGTTGCACCGGCGGCCATTTCGGTATCCCACCGCAGAAAATCTTCCAGCTTTACAAAACTAGAGCCCATAATCGAAGAGGGGTCGGAAGGGAGCTTCGAAATTGGGCACAAGGGGGTGTTCTTCAATGCTCTTCCTTTGCTCCTCTCTGGGTTTATGTACATCTTCTTGTTCCAGGAATTTGTGGTTTGACATATATATACATATATATATGGTGCATGAAAGCATATATGTGGAAAGTAGAAGATATGAGATCTCTAGAGCAAATTCATGCATGTCATGTGTTAGGAAGAAATATTCCATTTACTTCAAACAAACAATATGTTGCAATGTGAGGCATGGATCTGTTTTTAGCCAATTTTTTTTGTATTAGTGCCATTAATTAATATAAGAAATTGGCTTCCCACAAGGTACCATATTTCCTCTCTCTCTCTCTCTCTCTCTATATTAACCTTCAAATATTCTGATCATAAATGGATCGGATAACTTAATAGATTCTAGGAGGAAATGAAAAAAAATTTCGTCCGAGGGAGGATAAAAGTACTCATTAAAGAAATTCCGATCCCTAGAAAATGGTAAATATATTTTTAATTTCATCATACGTTGAATCTTATGACATGCAGTTCACTTCGATCCTCGCTACTATATATTCATTAGTCATTTTCATAATAAATTAAATGAAATAATATATCACTTACGAAATTGCATTTTGCATGGGTTGCATGAAGTTTGCAGCATTAAAATTGCAGGTCGTGAACACGTTCGGCCCTGGTGCACCGAAAACATCTATAAAGTTTTGCAGTCTGACTGCCCATGTACCAATTTTCTGTGTCATTTCATTTCTCCGAACAAGTTGCTTTCCAATTTTTATTTCATGCTTAATGAAGAACTCCCGAACATTTAGAACATTTCGATAGAAATCTGCCAGAAAAATCTGCCTTCAAATTTCCAATGTGAATGCCATGAGCATATACATTGTTATGAAACTAATCAATCTGCTACAATACATAACCTGGACCATTAGCAATTACCCTAAATATTTTCGGAGATGAATCTACCCTCGATCTCTCAAATCTATTCCATGTACACCAATCAATAATTAAACATCATATCTGTACATCAAAAAATAAGAAACACAAGAAACGAACACCGGAATTAGAAACATTGCCCTCTTCGAAAATGGCGGAATTTCAATGTTAATCTGAGATTCAGCCGGTACTGCTTCTTCAACAATCGTCTCCAGCTCCGGACATTTCGAAGATTTCTGGGGAGATATGAAAAGGGTCGGTGCAACTTCACCCCAGTTGTGCATGTAGCTCACCTCTTTCACCATCATTATCTCTGAATTAAGCACCTTAAAAATACAAATTATGAATAATCTTGTGAGATTACTGAGGGAGGTGGAGGTATTGGGTTTGTAGGGAATGAATTGTGAAGCGTTGTATATATACTGAAAATTAATACGAGATTAGAGGAGGTGGGAGCTGGCTAATGACCATGGTGCATCAATGACAGGGTGACACGTAAGGCATTAAGTTTGAAGAAGTCTAGGAACTTTCTAAAATAGGCGTAATATCTGGTGTAACAACGTCCTAAAATACTTGTTGAAAACTACGTGTGATGATACCTCAGCCTTCTGGAATTATACAAGTGTTAGGTATAGAGGAAAATTCGATGGAAGGAGATCTAGAAGCCTACAACGATTTTGTAAATATTCTTTCTTTAACAATTTGCCTATCCTACGTGGTGGTTTTTTTTTTTTTTTTTTGTGTTAGATGTGTTTTTGAAGTTTGTTCCTCGAGTGATTAAAATGTGTTTGTTTTATTGCATAGAAGGATAATCGTTTGAAAGTATTTTTAAAATGATTGAAAATGCTTGTAGTGTAAATATTTTAGGAAAACTAATGAAAATGGCTTGAAAACTTTGAGTTTTAATGATAAGGACAAAATAAAGGGTAAAGTGAATAGTACCAGGATTGACTTTTTAGTGTAAAAATGTGGTTTTTCGTTAAAGTGAACAGTACCGGAAGCTTTTCATTAAAGTTCCCAAATATTTTTGAAATCAATCCTTAGTAAGAATGTAAGTAAATCGTTTAGACGTACGTTTAAAATGGTTGAAAGCATCTCTGGACAGTGTATTCGTCAAATCCAGTCACCTAAGCCGGTCAATATAAGGACAATTTCTTTTGTACTATGGGATAAAAAAAGAGAGGCTTAATCGAATAGATGGTCCACATGGTGATAAGGTTATCGGAAGATAGCTCTTGTGGTAAAAAAAAATTAGAATTTAAACCCTCATGGTAAAAAAATTAGAAAAATACAAAAGACTCCTTAGGAAAGGAGAAGATAAGCATGGCTCTTACATAGAACAGGAACCGACATGTTCCCGTAAATATGATGAATAACTATCAAGCCAAAAAGACTACAAAAAAAAAATCTACCTGCAGCCGAGATGGAGGGGTTACTCCCCACCCCAACTTGGGAATTATACAGAAGAGGCCCGAGGGAGGCCATTCCTAGACGGAACACCAACAAGAGAGGGAGGGGGCATGAGCTGCTTTGCTTCTACATGATGTATATCGGCTGATAGGCTTCGGAGTAATTTTCTGTTTATTGATTGGATTTCGCTATGTCGGATTGGTGAGACTTATACCGTGGTTATTGTTGATTGATTTGGTTAACAAGGTTTTCATTCCTTTTCTGATTCGTTTTGTGTCACTTCTCAAATTTTACAGGATGCTATGATGTTTGTGCCATATAAAGATAAATTCTAAACATCTTCACCATCTTCATTATTTTCTTGGTGAGAGATAAACAGTAGAGACAAGGAAGAATAACACGTTAAAATACATATTTATCCTTGCATTTAAAGGACATTTAATAAAAAAATTAGTTTTGGACTAAATTTGCTAACGGATTACACCACAAGGATATAAATCTTTTTTTTTTTTATCACAGAGACTATCTTCTGCTTACCTTATTACCACAATGACCTTTTATTTGATTAGGCCTAAAAAAATGGTCATGGGCCTCGAGATTTGGCTTTTAAGTCTTCACAACTATATTTAAGGTGACAATTTCGACACTCCCAATTTAGAGTCTTACACTATATTTGGATGAAGAAATTTAAGATTATTAAGGAATTTTAAAATGACGGAAATTGAAATGAAGGGATTTTATTTTCTAGAATTTGTGAATTTTGTTGTTTGGTTAACTTAAAAGAACAATGAAATTCAAAACGGAATTTGTTAATTTTAAACTCTCAATCATTGAAATTGGGAAATGACACCTATTTACACGGAATTTAAACTTGGAAATTGGAGGCCCCAAATTCTAAGTTTTTTTTTCACACAGAAATTCTAAATTTCTATGTTATAAATCCAAACAAGGGAATTGGTGCATGTCAATTTATAAATTCTAACTTTTATCCAAATTCCAAGTTTATTTCCCTCATCCAAACATAGTGTTAGACTCTCATTTTCTATAGAAAAATTAAAGATGATTAATTAATTTGGAGAAAAAGTAACGAAAAGTTAAAAAAAAAAACTTTAGTTTTAATGAAAAATGACAAATAAATGTGTAAATAAATAGTATCAGAAAAAAGGTAAAAATGTGGTTTTTCGTTAAAAATGAACAGTACTGGGAGTGTTTCGTTACGACTCTCATAATTTGGAGTGCCAAAATGGAGCAATTTTTATAATCATAACTTGCTAAATCCCGTCTTGCCCAATAAGAGCTCAGCTTAGAGCATTTTAACACGATCGGTAGTCAAAATTTGGTTAAATTTTTCTCCAAATGACGCTCACGAGAGTTAAGGGTTGAGTTATATTATGTTCTTGTCATGTTATTTTTTTCTTCCGAAGGATCGATGACATATTTAGTTAATCGTGTCAAACCATTCAACTTTAGTAAAAGAGAGAGAATTCAGCAATGAAAGAATTGTTTATATTGCAAAATGCATCATCAATTTTTCAGAGGTGAATGCACCTCAAACTCTAGCCTGCGAATAGATCTATTCAACATACAATTATGCCTGCCGGCCATATTACATGAGAGAACTCCCTTTACAAATTAAGGGATCTGTCTGCACAATATGAGGTATGTCGCTAAAGAAAGAAACACTGGAAAGAAAAACATCACTCGTTTGGGCAGAATCTCAAAGCTATGGTACTCCGATCCTTCTTCAGCAATGGGCTCCAATTTCGAAACGTTATTCGAAGGCTTCTCGTGGGGGATGACAAGAGCTGGTGCAACTTCACCCCAGTTGTGCAGGTACCTCATTTCCTTTGCCATCAAACCCTTATCTCACTAAATGTATAATTCTTAAGGTGGAAGGTAATATTATATATGTTCTCTTGTAGGAATTGTATGCTCATGAATGTTATTGTGTTGGAGAGAAGAGTTGGAGAAGCATGGTATTATACATAGATGGAAGAGGAAAAGGGGTGTAAAAATAGGAGGGTGGTGGGCTGGCCCTGCTGCAGCAATCAGCGGTTGACAAGGCTTCACGTCATGTGATGAGCAAAACGAACGGAGACAATGAAGGAAAGGATAGATTTCAATTTTACAGTTTATCCGTGTGTGGAATCCAGAATGGCAAAAGCACGTTACACCTTACAGTCACAACAGATAAGCGTGTAATTGCCAAATTGGTAAAACTGCGTAACCTTAAAACCGCGTGTATGGGTTATGCCACGACATGTGAACGGTGTAGTGCATGCATCGTGGTAGATTAGTATTGTTGTGTGTATCAGATATGATATATATACTTGAAGGTTTTTCTCGACCACACAATAACTAGGTTAATTCGCGAATGATGTGATAGAATCACTGATATGCTCGTCACAGTCATTTTTCTTAACATTTTTTGTTGAGTTGGCTCGATCAAGTACTAGATTAGTAAAAAATGAATTAAGGCAATGGGCAAAAGTAGTAGAGAAAATAGGCTGGGAAAGGGGCACAGAAATGATTAAAAATTAAAACTACTTAATTTTTTATATAATTAGGCTTAACTAGGAGCATACATGATAACATAACCAGTTTACAATGAAAAAGACTTGTAGCCAGGAAATGAAAGGATAAATGGAAGCATACACTTCGGCTTAAGCTTCCATCTAGAAACAAAATTACCAAACAAAACACTTCAAAGGAAAAATTAATTAGCTAATGGGACATTATATATTTAAGTTCTTTTCTAAGCACAGGACTGGCATGCAATTGTATGGCGAGTGTACGATGACTTCGTCACTTGCAAGAAGCAGGCGGCCGGCAAGAGTGATGATACCGGTGAAGAAGGCACCTGAGAACACGTCTCATCAGCAATCATATTATCCCCTTCGGATTCTTCCTCGTGTATTGTCTCCAAAGATTGGATTTGCACCCTGCTAGAATTTTGAAGTAGTGGAAGAAAGCGAGAAGGTGCAACTGCAGAAAATGGGGTCAATGAGGAAGTTTCAGTAGTGTTGGCCATTTTGTTATAATTATAAGCAGGTTGGATTAGAACCTCAATAGGCTAAGCTTGATTTGTATATGGATATTGCAGAGGAAGGAGGGATATGTTGTGGATTCTGTAATGCCATATGGTCGCTTTATATAGGTGAGGTGGTTGGAATTAACTGGAGTATTACTTTATCATCTTGCATTAACTAATTTTGGACAATGAATATTGTATATTGAAGTTGAACTTTTCAACTTGCACCATTTCCTTTTGTTTTGTTTTGTGGAAAATAGAAAGCAAGTTGCTCTTCTTGTCTGCAAACAAGTAGCTAGCACACAACTTGCTTCAATACTATTATTATACATACCTGCTTCAATACCATTATACATATGCTTTGGTATGGGATTTGTTGTTAAAAAGGTTGTGACTCGTGCTGGTGAGGACCTATCGCCACCATATATGAGCTGATCTCGGAGGTAATCTTTAGTACAACTTTATTTTTATTTATTGTGAAACGTCAGTAAATTTTATTAATTGTCAAAGTATTAAGCAACCAATCCGACTTTATTTGAGAAAACAAGTTTTTTTAACTTCTACTTACGTTATGATGAGTAAAATTCATCACATGCATGCATGTTCTTTTTTCTTCTCCGATTAGTCAAAATCATTACATATTGTCTGTAATTCTGTAACATGCACACGCATCTTCCTCTGTAAAATTTGGAACATTTACTGATCATATATTGCATGGAATTAGGGTTTGGGGGATTAAAAATCAGAGGAACACTTTGCTGCCAAGTTTAGAAACCGCGTCGATCGGTTGGTAAAGAGATGAGCATGAGTACTTTATGAATTGAATGGAAATCTTGGAGCTACTACATACTCAAATCAGTCTTCAAACTCTTTTATCCAAATAAGTCATTGGAATCATTTGACAATTTTTTTTTTTTGGGGGGGGGGGGGTGTTGCGGAGGCGGCGGAGGCTTACAGATGGTTTACGGTCTCGATCACACAGGCTTTTTCACCTACTAACATGCAGTACCAACTACAACTTTATTTTAGCTTTTCGCATTTATTGGTGCCCTGCTTCACAGGGCACACCTACCCCAGTCGATAGTCGTAAGCAGAGGCGGCCGGAGGTAAGGAGAACAAGGAATGTCTTGGGCCTCAATTTAAATTAGGCCTCGTATTATACCTTTATTATATGTTTAAAGTTTTCCTCATTCATCGTATTCTTGATTAGAAGGAAAGCAAAAAATATCTTATTCTCATAAATCTAATCGGGTGATCCTTAAATTCATATTATTGTGAACAAAATCATATTAATGTACTAAATTAGAATCCATTATTTCATTTTCGTCTTAATTAGGCCTCAGTTTGCATTGAGACAGCTTCATTCGAACAAAGCAAACGATGCAAGTTGTGGCATTCATGTTATGCGACTAACAACGTCTTATTACGATCTGTTGGTGTTGGAACATCATGGATCGTTAACTATAATATGGTCCCTTTAGCATTATTATCAAATTACTTCACGAAATATTCTTCAGATATAATGATCATCGGTCAGCACAAGTTGATCTGTTACAGCTGATCCGGAGGCGGACATATTAAGGCAGGGTTTGAGGTAAACTAGTAAACCTTTCTACTATGCATACAATGCAGTGTTCACTATTCAAGCCGTCTTAGGTCATCATTCCTTTATTTTATCACAATCAAAAAGGCAAATGCCACGCCCAGAAAATAAATAATTGGAAAGAACCAGAAAGTCCCTAAATGTCTGATAAGATGCAGACGGATGGGGAAAGAGCATGGAAATTGTTAGGGAGTGTGGACCATTTAACACTGTTCATGCCTCGGATAAGAAGCAATTCATAAGCATGGAAGAGAAATAATGTATGAATTTGACCAATATATGGACGATCAAGTTGAATAAATGAAGATGATGATATGGCCGATTATGCTTGGGCAACCATCCACATCCCTTCTTTGAGCATTCTAGTCCAAATTTGCACTTTTTAGCATTTGTAGGACCATGTAAAAGTTCATCTGTATGCCTTTTTGCTTTGCAATTTTCTCCAAGGATATGTAATTGGGCTAAGACTAGTACTTTATTTAGGATCTCGGGCTATGGATAGGAAAATCTAAGCATGCTGAACAATCGATCAAGCTCTCATTAATTGATACAATTGAATCGCAGTTGTCTAAAATGTTCATCGCTTGCAAATAAAAATTTGAGAACTATGATATAGTTAGTCACACCAACACTAGATCAACCATTAGAAATGTCATCCAACCATAGTCGAGTATAAGAATTTCTACATTTATGAGTTAGGGTTTCGCTCAAAGCAAAACTTTCAAAGTTAATTTACAAAATAAATGTTGAAAAAAGTTCCAAACTCAAATCTTCTCACTAATGATAAAAGAATTGGAAAAGATCTATCCCACCAACAAACAAAGCCAATCCTTTTAATGTAAAGAAGGATTGTCGACCTCACCTAGCATTTATGATGATCGATGGACTGTTGAAGCACACACAAATTAGTAGTAAAACATAGCAGATGACTAAGTAAAACACATTTCTCAAATTTTCTTTGCAAGTGTGAGCTAGTGCAACTCTCAAATCACTAATAATCATGTGTTAAAAGCATGGTGTTACATAATTTGATGAGCTAACAAATTAAAACCAATTATCCTAGTAATTGTCAACCTAACAAACACGGTAGGTATCACGTACTAGTAAACCATGATTGGGATATTTTCCTAACATGTCACCCCAAATGGATTTGAGCCAACCATTATTTTCTTGGAACGAAATTTTCTCGAGAAAGTTTTTGTCAGCATCACTGCCCAGATCAAGCAAACTAAACTGAAACGTGGCATGGCCATGGCTATTCCCAGTGCGGCTGGAAAAGTGCAAATTTGGAAGCCATCGTTCCCAACAAAAACCATATCTCTTGCGGATATCTGACTTCCACCCAAGGATAGACACCCACCAATACGTGTGTCCCACGTCAGCCCTAGCAATTAATGTTAAAAGCAAGAGGCGGCACTAGCTATTAAAACATGATTTAACATTCCCGGACTAGGACCCGTGGCTTAATTACCGTAAACCCAAACAAATTTGATCTATATAAGTTTGTGTTCATATGCTCGGTTTGACAAGCAAACCCTTTTCTTCAAGTACATTTCTCTCTCAGATTTCTTCTCTTTTCTCTTTCCTGACCGCTTCTAAATTCTCAATTGTTACTTGTTTTCTTCAACTTGTAGTGAAGAAAATGGCGAATGCAAGACTAGCAAGGTTCATCACTGAAGTTGCACCGCCACAATTTGTGAGTGTGATGAGGCAAGGAACTTCAAAGGTGTTGGATACAATTAATGAGGAGGAGAGAGAATATGTTCATACCCCAAATGATTCTCTCCCTTCATCATCATCCAACAGGTTTGCTCGTTCCTCTTCATCGTCATCGTCGGCACCAAGTTTCGCTTCTGCTTCTGCCTCCGGTGCCGAGTCAAAGTACTTTCTCAGGAAAGTTCGTAGGTCTTTGTCCGTGTTGGGAAACTAAGACTACGCCTTTGAAGGCCAAGCAAATAAACTGGGAAACTCGTTATCTAGCCTTGAAGGCGTTAATTTGTGACAGTATTTGAGTTGCAGCCGTCTTTTTGAGGCCCTAAATTTATGTATTCTCCTTTTTTTTCTTTTCTGTTTTTGGTTCTACAAACATGCATGCATGGTCATGGAGTATTAGTGAGATGACCAAATCAGCTGAGCTAATGAAATACTGAAAGGGAACTTTTTCTATTAGGCGAATGGAGGAAATATATATATATATATATATATATATATATATATGTATGTACATATATGTATATATAATATGGAAAGTGAGAGGCAATATTATGCTGTACAGAGTACAGAATCACTAACTATTGCTTTTCCATCAATCAATGTTTCATATTTATTTGCTACTATTAATTAGTTCTGGGAAATATGAGGACTAATCTATGCATGGCTTGAAAAATATTGCTACAGCTTAGCCCTTCTTCCCCCCAACCGATAGATCGAACTTAAAAGGTATGGCTATATATGTTAAAACAGAAAAGTATCGTAGCCTGGTAGCAATTGAATTTTCTTCAACCAGTGTGATAAATTGATATTCCTTAAAATAATTATAACAAACATTCTTTTATTTCCATTTTACTGATAATCCACGAAGATAACACACAAGAGACGACATGAGCACCTATATAGCATGGATGATGTCTGCATATGCAAGATAATGCACTCGACTCGCCAAGGATATCTTCGCATATCGGTTCGGATATATTTGCCTACACATGCATCAACACACGCTTGATCCGTTCCTGCAGCTGCGCACGTCATATTTTCTATCACCGAGTTGCAGAACTGTTCATCTATGGGTCTCATAGCCATCATACTAGTAGCTACAGACATAAATGAAAATTGGAGATCATATGATCGGTGAGCTAGTTCAACCTATTGGTATGCATAGATTACTTGCAGTTGGATGTAGGGAGATTCATTACCTGAACCATGAAAAACAAAAATAATAAAAACACTGACAAGCCACAATGATTTAACCATTTTACAAATAACTCTACACGTACTATTGTCACTCTCGTAGCATTGTATTTATAGGCTTAAATGTGGGTAGGTTTTGATAGATATATGAAGGTATCTCTATGTAATAGAAATAAGTATCCGAAAAAATCCCACCAAATGTATGCCAAAAATCCTACTTTCGTGTGATCTTATTGCATTTCGATTTATGTCCAGTGATTGACCAAAATGTCCTTTCGATTCCAAACTTCCGAATCTTGTTTGTAAATTTGTAATTGTTATTTAGTGCTTTCATTTTTGGAAGAAAAAGTTTATAATTTAAAATTGCCCGATTGATTAGAAAATAAGACGAGCAAAACCACACACCAGGGCTCTAATTGTCGATAGGTATCCTTTCAAGCAAATCACTCTTGTCCCCATCCGAGCAATGGGAGAGAACAAACCCGGATAGAAAAGCTCCCCAGCCCTTTCATGCTTCAAAGATACCTTCGATTTCTTGGATTTGGTTTCACTCCAAAAATATAAATTATTGAGTCAACATCTTGATTTGGTTTGGAATATTTGGTGCGTAACTTCTTACTGCAATTTTTGATAGCTTCACATGATCACATTGCAATTCTATGTAATGTAAACGTAACCATCACTACACAAAAACTAGGCTAAAGCATGAACGAGATTCATGTCTTTTACCATCAATAGGCACTAGTACTCGTGGCCTTTGTCGCAAATTGTTCAGAAGTGGGGGCGGAGATATTAGACCCCTTCAAAGCAGCAAGCTCAGATTCCAATTTCTTGACTTTCTCAGCTGAGGAGTAAACTTCGGCTGCCACAGTTCTTGCCACCTCCTTGGCAGCCTTGGTATCCTCTTGATCAAGAAGCATAGACTCGGCTGCCAGAATCACCGTTTTCTACATCATGGCCAGCAGAGCAGTCCCTATACTCGGTCGTGTGCTTCCGGAACCCAATGTACATAGATCGTATGAGTGGCTCAACCTGCACCATCTGAGATGTTGAGCCATACTGAAAATTCAGTAATGTGTGTTTGGCACAGAGTGGGAATGCCGAACAAGAAGTTCTTGATTCAATACTTTCAGTGCCTGTTTCACCTCCATCCGGCAAACTGAAACTGAATGTCGATGGTGCGTGGGATGCGGAAAGGAAATTAAGCGGCTACGGCGGAGTAGTTCGTGACGATCGCGGCTGTTTTGTAGCGGCTAAATGTGGTCATATATGTTAAAACAGAAAAATATCGTAGCCTGATAGCAGTTGCATATATATTCTTTATCACAAAAACAAGAACCCTTCAAACAGCAGTAAGAGAGATCTGATAAATTGATACTCTTTATATTATAATAGTTTGTCTATATATCTTAAGCTTAATTCCATTATTGTCGTATTCGTATCTACGATAGTTGTGACGTAATCTATCAGATTGTTTGGTTACTGAAGTTTTAAGAACATGAGCTAGTTCAACAGTATACAGATTAATGTCTTCTTGCGATACGACCTTGTCCGTAGACCTGAGCTCTGTATCAAACTAAATGTCCGATCGCCTGCAAGGTCCTGCTGCGATATCATCTGAACCAACCATTTACGACTAAGAAGGCAGCAAAAATGCTTTGGTGGTAAAAAGTTTATAAATGGTTGCTAACATACCAGTTGTTACACCAACTATGAAGCATGTATACTGAGGGGAGTTCACTTTTACATTTACCCCTCCACAAACCTTAACTCTTACACAGAACTTGCTTCAGTAATTACTCTCTTCGTGGCTGCTCTGTTTTGTTTCCTTTCACCGCTTTCTCTTCCGGGATGTTTCCATTTCAACAGTCTCTTTCAATTTCTCCAGTGCTGTCACATTGAGAAAAGAAAAGATATGATAAGGAGCAGTGTTGGTTTGAGCATCTAAAGCCATTCGACTAGATCTAGCTGGTGTCCATGTAAGCTTAAAACCGTTAGAGGTAACATGTAAATTCGATGGAGGGCAAACATCGTAATGGTGGAAGCCATCAGAGTGAACATTAATCTTTATAGACGTGATGAATAAGCAAAGCAATTACCGGATTCATAGATAGAGTGGAGTGGTTCAATGTAACTAGAAGGAACAGAGTATTTAGAGCAAGAGTTATTCTCAGCTTTGCGTAATAGCTTGTTGAAACGCTTAACCTGCAACGAAAGAAGAAAATTACAAAGATCTCAACTTATAATCGATAGTTCAAGTAAATGATGTGAGTGTAAGCTTAATCTGAACAATGAATGATAATTAACACCTAAACGACTTTCATTCCAACCATGTGCTGATGAGCAAGATCAGTGAGTAATTTTTCATGAGTTAAGATATTCGATCAAGTAATAGGACTCAAAAGCGCTGCAAAGTGAGCCAAACAAACCCAAACTCTGAGCAGGTTGTCCTTTGATGATTTTACTTATTTGAGCTCAAGCCCGATATAAATGAAAGCAAAAATATATCTGTACATCGGGAAACTGATTATTCACACGGGCAAAACCAAGGTAAATAATAATCCCAGTTTTCGAATAGACCTCAGCGGATAAATAAATTTGTTCCAAACTTAAAGAAAATATCTACTTTACATGACAAGCTCATAACGAATTGATACTTACCAGTTTGCCCATTTAAGTTGCACCAGGGCGTAAAAGAAAGACGGAAATACTAAAATGAGAGAAAAAGAAAAACATGGGTATAGGGTAACTATATTTCTATTCCACATAACCTTGGTCTGAAATGCACGTTGGGGTGGAGACTAACAAGACAATACATACCTCTTCCTTACGCAACAGTGTGAAGCAACAACCATTTTGGCCTGCTCTTGCTGTCCGACCTGCACGGTGTATGTATGTCTTTATGTATGGAGGCATATCATAATTAATGACATTCCTCACCCCTTCAACATCCATTCCACGAGTCATTGCATCAGATGAAACGAGTACTTGAATCTCCCCTTTCCGAAATGCCTTCAATGTCTTGCTGCCATAAGTAAATCACAAATTCAAAATTTTATCCCTTCAATTTATATAAATATCCCAGAAATTACCTTCGAATAGATTGACGTTGAAGGCTTGAATACTCCTTAATCTTGAAAGGCAGATGATCAAAAGAGTTCAATAAGGTGCATAGACGATGAGTTGACTCCACAGAGGATGTGAAAATGAGGCACTTCTCTGCTCCTAAACTTTGCAGGAGTCCAACCAAATATAATGGCTTGTATTTTGATTCGCATAACTGTAAATAAGACGGAATAAAAATTAGGAGAGACACCGTGTTCCCTTTAGACATCAAAATATTAGACATTTATCAAAACATAATACACAGATTTTTCACTTTATTTATGCTACCAAGGGACTAAATGAATCTAGCGTCGCCATCATCTCACACTTGCAAGGCAACAAGAAAGTGTGCACAATATGAGCTTAACAAGTCTCCCTTATGTATAAAAAAGAAACAGAGCCAATCTCATGTGTTTACAAATAGAGTACAGATAGAATACCAGCTTGTAGGACTGTAACTTTTCTGGAAGCTGATAACGCTTTTGTCCAGTTGTCAAGAACAAAGGATGATGCAGATCTAGCTGAGCAAGTTTGCTTGGATCCTGGGTTAGCGTGGCTGACAGAACCATCTTCACAAGCCTGGGGTAAGATTTACCCTTAAACCCCCTCTCAAGACCACTGAAACAAATTTGAGATAACATTCAAAAGCAAGGCATATATCATGCTTTAAATTTTTAACTAAACACAAGTTATCATTTCCATCAGTATTAAGATCCCCTTGCAGGTAGAGTCAAGTTTTAGTAGTGGCCAGAATATGAGTTTCAGTTTCTGCAAGTAAGAATTATAACCCTAGCCGGCAAACCCATGAAATAGGCTGGTTGTATGTGCCAAGAATCCTAAAAATTCGAAAGCCAGCATTTGATAATGAGTGTCAGTGATAACATGGTATTAACCTATTGCACTCTCATAAACTATGAC